GATTAGATGAATGTTATTTTCCGAATTCTTAGATCTTCATTTCGTTTTTAAGCGCTTACTGGCTTTACGTGTTCCCTCTGCTCTCAATATCCCATCCTCTGTATATCAAGTGGAATCTTTGAACAGTTCTCAGCAGGCATAGTGGGCCTATTATGTGACATTTTCCATTTTCAGAGGAGATGTTTTGCAGAAAGCTGTGAAGATAGCGAACAATTTCCTTCACTGTCGTAGACTACGGTCACTTGTCTGTAGGAATTATGTGGAAAACTCGGTCGCAAGTGAGCGTTCCTTCCGTGGTGTGGCCCCAAACATGCCTCCTCGTCATGCCCTTGTGGAAAGTTCAGATTTTTTGCATTTCCAGATGAACTCGCAGACCTGAAATGTGCCCCGTTAGCTTCCCCGTGAAAAATGCTATCGAATGATATGCATTACTTCCCCAGTTGAAACTTTGGTTTTTCACCGTTTTCAGCCTTCCCCTATTGCCGGATTGGGCACTATCCCACGATTACTGCCCCAAAATCTCAAAGTTTCATTTTTCGTCGAAACTTTGTCTATTGGGGTAATTCGATGCCCTGATTACGAATATGACATTCATTTTTGATGCTGGTGTCATTTGGCGCCATTTGGCGCCAGCATCACCGCTGTTTTCACCAAATCTGCTGAAACTTCGTCATTTGGGTTATTTGGGGTCCTGATTACGAAAACGACACCCGTTTTTAGCGCTGGCGCCATTTGGCGCCACGGCTGTTTCCACCAAATCCGCTGAAAACGTGTGTATAGGGGTTATTTGGGGTCCTGATCACGAATATAACATCCAGTCTTGACGCCGGCGCCATGTGGTGTCACAAACAACACTTCACAGTCAGAGCGTACTCTTAGGCACCTTTCTCAGAGCGCCGACTGTCAGACCGTGGAAAAGGTCATCGAATCGGAGACTTTCCCACGACAGGAAGGAGCCAGACCGTGGAAAACTGTGAGCTAAGCCAGAAGCATATTTCACGTTTTCACTGTATGCGTTGGGCAGAGCAGCAATTCGACTGTAAGCTCTCCAGCTGCCACTGAGGATGGTAGTACCGTGCTCGATGTACTACTTCATGATGAGCCGCAGTAGAGTTGAAACGTCTTTCCTTCGGACCATCCGAAGGAGTCCACTTCCTCTTTCAATGTCCCAGAAATAGGGCAGTGCGAACACCGTGGACTCAGGAAAGTTACAGTTCTCGAAAAAGGAATCCTTTCGGGCATGAACGTAGACCCTGGTCTCGTTCGACGGTCCAGTGCGGCACGCTCGACGATTGCAAATCCAGCCGTTGTGCCGTTCGTCGTTGATCAGGCTCATGGATCGTTGACATGAATGGCATAGTGGCACAGACATCAACCCCATGGATCGCAACCAGTAAGTGCAGATTATTCAACTTGAGCGTCTCGTACACGTCCTTCAAGGCTAAGCCCAGTAGCTCTCATTGACGATTGTGTCGCTAAAGAGTAGCAAGAGCCATCGTTATTCTCCGTTGTCGAAAACGTGAAACATGCTTCTGGCTCCTTCCTGTCGTGGGAAAGTCTCCGATTCGATGACCTTTTCCACGGTCTGACAGTCGGCGCTCTGAGAAAGGTGCCTAAGAGTACGCTCTGACTGTGAAGTGTTGTTTGTGACACCACATGGCGCCGGCGTCAAGACTGGATGTTATATTCGTGATCAGGACCCCAAATAACCCCTATACACACGTTTTCAGCGGATTTGGTGGAAACAGCCGTGGCGCCAAATTGGCGCCAGCGCCAAAACGGGTGTCGTTTTCGTAATCGTTTTCGTAATCAGGACCCAAATAATCCCAAATGACGAAGTTTCAGCAGATTTGGTGAAAACAGCTGTGGTTTCATTTTTTGATGCTGGTATCAGGTGCGCACGCCAAATGACCAAATGCACAGCATCAAAATGAAACAATCTGGCAATGGCGCCAAATGAAATCTTTTTAATCTTGTCATATTCGTAATCAGGGCATCGAATTACCCCAATAGACAAAGTTTCGACGAAAAATGAAACTTTGAGATTTTGGGGCAGTAATCGTGGGATAGTGCCAATCCGGCAATAGGGGAAGGCTGAAAACGGTGAAAAACCAAAGTTTCAACTGGGGAAGTAATGCATATCATTCGATAGCATTTTTCACGGGGAAGCTAACGGGGCACATTTCAGGTCTGCGAGTTCATCTGGAAATGCAAAAAATCTGAACTTTCCACAAGGGCATGACGAGGAGGCATGTTTGGGGCCACACCGGAAGGAACGCTCACTTGCGACCGAGTTTTCCACATAATTCCTACAGACAAGTGACCATAGTCTACGACAGTGAAGGAAATTCTTCGCTTCCTTTACAGCTTTCTACAAAACATTCCTCTAAAAATGGGACTTGTCACGTAATAGGGGGCAAAGGCATGACAAGGGGTGATGTTTGGGGTCACACCACGGAAGAAACGCTCACCTGCGACCAAGGTTTCCATATAATCCTTACAGACAAGTGACCGTAGTCTACGACAGTGAAGGAAATTGTTCGCTATCTTCACAGCTTTCTGCAAAACATCTCCTCTGAAAATGGAAAATGTCACATAATAGGCCCACTATGCCTGCTGAGAACTGTTCAAAGATTCCACTTGATATACAGAGGATGGGATATTGAGAGCAGAGGGAACACGTAAAGCCAGTAAGCGCTTAAAAACGAAATGAAGATCTAAGAATTCGGAAAATAACATTCATCTAATCTCACAATGTAGTGGATGAGATTGAGTACGTGGCGCATTCTGGGGTAAGTTTTGAGGCCCTTCTCTGTGTGTAGCGGTCAGCCCGCATAAGCGGGATTATATACACATCACATGCGAGCAACTACTTTTTGAGATGAAAATCGAGTGCATGGCGCAATCCTATATGGAGCTTTTCCAAAGTATCAAAGCAATTCTTATAGTGTCCGACGAGCTGAATTCAAAGATATCTTCGGATTCTCGAAAGCTCAATTTTGAACCGAGTTATAACGAATTCACGAAATTAACGAGGATTCGCGTTATTCGCGTGAATTTTCGATTTCAAACGGCGAGTACTGTACAAATTGAAGTAGAATGCGTGCCGCATCCCAAGACGGGATTGATCAACGGCAAATGCTTTATCTTATGTTTTATCTTTATCATCTCATTGCGTTGTTGTCATCAACATAAAATACCGTTCGACCGCTACAGTCCCAAAGTCCCTAAGAATGTATGATGGATGTTTAGCGATATACGATAATGGGTATTTCTATTGCAAAATCATTGGCATCAATATTATTCGACCGCTAAATCATCCTGACATCCAATGCATGGTGGCTGTTTACAGACACCACTTTAGCTCCGCACTCCACCGCGCGTATCAGACGGTGGCTTAAAAATGGGCATTCTGTAGAAGGCCAGCTAACGCATTTCACGAAGCAAGTTATTGTTTAGCGGCGGAACCTAACGCTCCGCCGGCTGGCCAGCTTTACGGAGCCCTTCCGTGTCATGCACGCGGTAGTGTGCGGAGCTAAACTGGTATAAGTGTTAAAGTAGAGATCCGCCAAACAACATTACACTTCTTGAGAAGAAAAATGCGCGTCGGTTCCGAATTTCATTTTCGGTTCTCTCATTTTGTACAAAATCGTTCCTGAAGGCAGCTATAGCCGTTGAAATAGTGCCAATGCAGCGAAAAAAGTACCTTTCGGCGGTACTCGGGCAAAAATCCTGGCCATTTTTTAAATACTGGACGTATTTAGCAGTTCTAGAACCATTTGATAGAGCAAATCTTCTAGTTTATGATGACGTATTAACTTTTCAGATTGATGAAATGAAGCAAGTTATGGCTTTGGAAAGTGTAAAAACTCGTGCTCATCATGAATTTTCCTCGTTAATTGATCTAAATTTGTTATTTCTTATAATTTTGTAATTTCAATACTGATTAGAAAAAGCTCTTCACAAAACTCCAAATCTGCTTTCAGATTGAAAATTCGTTAACTTTGAAGAAAGTTATAATCATTTGAATATTTGTTCAAATTTCAATAGTAGATAAGCTGCTCCACGGTCAACGCTGAAGGTCAATTAACACACAGCTAGGGCCGTATCCTATCCTTCCCCCAGGCTGTAAAAAAAGTCCTTCAAATTCATTTGTTTTTTTTTCTCTACGCAGTTTCCTTACATTCCGCTAACTTACACACATGTATGCATTAGAAATATGCTCATCCTCAGTACGATTGTTAAAGGAAAGACAAAGAAAATTTGAAGAGATTTGTTGCTCCCCTAGCCTGTGGGAAGGATAGGATACGGCTGGTGGCTGAGGTGGTTAGGCTTCTTTCAACACATTGCAGACCGCGTGCATCGCCGGATGTGCACGTTGAAACTCCCACATCTGACATTTGGGCATCGCCGGGTATGCACATCTGTATTTTGCTCCCAAATGAAACCTTTCTTAGTACTTTTTGACTATTTGACTTTTGTTGGTCTCTGAATCCATAGAACATGTGGCACGTCGACAACTTTAATCTGAACATCTGAACAAATTTATGATGGGGAGAATCAGTGCTTAATGCAACTGTCAAAACAATAAGATCGCAATAGTGAACAAGTTTTCATCAATTACGAACTTTGCATTCTATTTCGGCTTCAGATTTTGAGCTTCCTTCGATAATTATAAACAAGTTGATATCAGAAAATTCTAATCAACAAGTCTATTAATTACACACTTTTCAACAATCTCAACAACAACAAGCAACGAACTTAACATTTTGAATTATATTTTTGGAAACAAATGAGTATCAAGTCATCAGTGGCATTTTCGAGACAGTAGCACTGTATTTTGAGGAAACTTGCTCAGCCTTTTTCTTGCAAGATAGCAGCCAAACTCGGCGAGTAACTTTTCATAACGCCTAACGCAGCGACGACATATTTTACGTCCAGCTCCCTCAGCAGGTACAAGAAACGGGACGTGCGCGGGCAGTTAAGGGAGTTGAGGGCTCCTATTGGTGTAGAATTTCAAATACGATTCTTCGCGCTTGAGGGCAGTATGCAGCCATTTGATCCGAAAAGTCAACAAAGGCCTTCCCATGATTACAACAACGAATCACTTCCGGCTTTTGATGAATGATGGTATCGTCGTGCAATGTCGAACAGCATGACTACATCACGCTTATCACACAGCTTGGGAACTATTATGCCATCATCGCGCTGTTGCGCTTGAGTTTCTCCTCCCGCTCACATTGAGAAGGAGCCGCAGTGGACTACAGCTCTTTCTGTAGTCCACTGCGGCTCCTTCTCAATGTGCCCACTAAATTGATTCTCTTTTGAAGCAATTGCTCGGCCAAGGGGAACAAAGTGTGCCAGTTGTCTCTAAAAGAGTTCGTCTACTGTCCAGGTCCAGAAGATGATCACTGACAATGAAGGTCGTTCAGGGTGTGGAACGCTTTTTCAAACACGGTTTTTGCATGCTGTAGGGAGCTCTCACGTAGACCACAATACTGTGTTCCATTTTCGCTGAGCGGCCCCCTGAAGGCCGAAAAAGGTCGAAAAAAACTTGTTAAGAATGGGTGGTTTTTACTGCCTTGGAGCGTTTCGGACTTGTAGAAAAGACCACCCGCATATTGAAGGGTACTGATGAAGATGATATCGAAAACAACGTGAAATTCGCTCAAAATTGAAGTTCTGTCAGTGGTAGTGCTGAAGAAAGTGTGGAGGTTTCATAAGCGTCGTCGGCATTTTACCATCGCAGCGACGTGGTGGTCAAGTGGATAGCGTGGTAGCCTCGAGATGGCACGACAGTGGGGGGTCTTTGCGGTTCAACTCTGCTTCACGGAAGCTCTTATGCATTTTTGATTATCACTCCTGAATTTCCGCCAAATTGCTTCAGCGTCAAAAGAAACGCTATATTCACAGTCAGGACCATCAGTAGCCTTGCAAATGGGTTTTCTACCAAAAATTGGCGGAAAAAGTTCGCAGCGCCAAACTGGCGCCAAATGGCGCCGACGCCAAAAACGAACAACAAATTCGTGATCGGGACCCTGATTTACCCCTATATGCCAAATTTCAGGAAAAAATCGAGACTTCGACATTACTTCGGAAAATTGGACCTACTATGAGCTACCGATGGTCAGGCACTCTGGGTGACTTAAAAAAGGGCGCGGTTCGATAATGAAGCGGATTGCTCTGATGAATCACGGAATCCGAAGTTCGGCGTCATAGAGAACATCCCCACACCACGTCGCAGTCCTTGAAATCGCTCCAGCTATCGAGATGAAGCCTTGCGAGTGGAAGAGCCGTGGACCCAATATACCACGTCCTGATGGAGGGAGAATCTGCCGACTTCAAATCATGGTGTCCTGTTGCCAATACCAGTTGGGTGTCTGCCATTGTCCATTCGGTAGCGGAAGTCCTCAATGTTTGAGGCAACAAGGAATTTGTTTTCACTGGCTGGAGGCACCTATGAGCTATTGACTCATCAATAATCAATTTTTGGATCTGGGTTGAAATATCAATTTCCTCCAAAACCTCTCTGGGATATCGAGTGCCTTGATCACGAATATGACATTTATTTTTTGTGGTAGCTCCACTTCGGCGCCATTTGACGCCCTTCTTGCGCGTCAAATTTTACCCACCAGATTACGGTAAAATCTGAAAGCAATAGTTACTGATGGTCTTTATAATGAACATATATCTATTATTGCTGGCGTTTTTGGAGCAAATTTGGAAGCTCCAACCTAAATGCAAAAATTTTGTCATCACGAGGGATTGAACCTTGGACCATTTCCTCACCATTTTTTGGCCTTCGCGCGGCCGCCTTGTGAGCATAACTACATGTTCTCTCACAGCACCTTTATGGACATGGTCCTCTTTGCCTGCAGGCAACATCATGTTGAAGGTATAGCCGCCGCTCGAACAAAGCTAGAAAAATCCCAATCCATATTTGTGGCGCTTCTTTGGTAGCCTCTTTAGTAGGTACTGGCGAGACAGTACGCGACTGCGAAAAGGCGCCAATGACTCGTTTATACAGATTTTCATTCCTGGTACATCTAGCTTCTGACAAATCTCCAGAAAAATGCTTAGGGAATCCTCAAGCTTGTGTACTGCTGCTTTACTGCTCACATTATTGTCGACAAGATGTAGCGCATCAGAACTGTGAAACGGGACTTCGTCATAAGTCTTCCGCATACATCGTGTCCACCCACAGACGTCCTGACTCCAGTAATCGTGTAGCGCGGGAAGTTGCACGTAACCCACAACATGTAAAATAGTTATAAGTTGTAAGATTTCATCCTTGTCAGTTGGAGTAAGGTTACAACATTTTTGCAAGCCATAACTATTAGTTTCTGCTACAATTAGGTCAAGCACATCATCTAGTAAAACACGAAAATAGTCGAGCGGTTCCGCACAGTCTTCCAAGTACTCAGCTCTAATGCCACAGGACTCATCATCAAAAGATCGGCGTTTTGGTTTGATGATGATCTTCGACCATGCCCTTATCACCGACAAAAATCGGATTACTTGTCATCCTGCTCCTCATCCTCAGTGTGTGGATCCATAGGGTTCACCAACAACTCCTGCAAATACTGCGGATCTTTCAATTAGCCATCGTCTCCATTCTCGATGACCAACCAGTTCAGGTCTAAGTCCGGTTCATCAACTCCTCATAATCCATCCTTAAAACCATTCCCGACAATATATAGGAAAAGAAAGCCATTCAATGAGAATGGTAATACTATGCGGAAACTATTAACTCTGTTCTCCATCATCGGAACCATATGTTTTGACGACCCTCTTATTGACAAAACAATTTGTATAGACTTTCCTGGATGAGCGGAACCTAGGAAATCTAGCAACAGACTCCAACCATCAAGATCCTATAAAACTAGATAGCAACAGGTACGCAGAACTATTTGCAGGTACTTCACTTCTAAACTTGAAGCCTCACTGGGAAGGCATTTCAGGGCCACAACTGCCCGTGAGTGAACTTCTGGCAAAAGAGGGGTGTGGTGCTTGAACTTCTCTAATCTTTCAAAACACTTTTGGTGTGAAAGGGCCGCTTAGGGAAAAGCTGGTATGTGCATGTGCCTACATCACGCTACAACCGTCTCTAAGAACCGATCACAACTTGAAGATCTAATTTTTTCTGGTTGGATTTCATTGCTATCAGACGGTGTTGAGGGTGATTTATAATGGAAGGGCAGAAGCAACTTTACTTTCTGGAAAACTTCCTTATCTTTTTTAATTTTATCTTACCAGCGGACATTGGAACAAATGAGTTCTTAGGTGCCGTAGGTGTGGAAAATTTAGCGCGAAGTGATCGGCGTTGCCAGCGAAAAGCACAACCCCGATAAGTGCGCAGGACGTTCCACGAGTTTGCCTATCCGATTACCATGGTCACACTCGAAAACACCCACAGAAAACATGCTTGTAGACAACAAACGCAATGTTAGAAAACGGGAGCATACACTCAAACGTATATTAGAGACATAACGAAGTAGGAACCGACGCTATCTGTTCTGGTATCAACGAGTCCGTTCAGGATGAATTATCACTGGCAGAACACAGTTAAGAATTCTATTGCAGAAAACTGTGCGAAATTCTTCGCAATCTGGCAATTTGATCTGAAATAGTGCAGAATGATAGTGGCACTCAAAACCAATTACAAAAAAATGCAGTAGATTGCGCATAAATTTCACATTATGTTCATAACCATTACAAATATACATTCAAAAGAATGAAAGAGGCATAGCGATATCAAGAATTAATGTTACCTAGCAGCTTTAACTTAGCAGAGTAAGTGTTGGTGATGTTAGACAGAGAAACGCTTCAAAAGTTGCGTGCAATCCCACACCATCTGCCTGTAATGTCCAGAATGGCGTTAGAATTTGACGGAATTGAAAAACACGCCTAAAAAACGCACTAAACCAAGTCAGGCACCTGTTGAACCTACAAACGCGCAACAACAAGCAAATTAGGAAAAAAATCCATTATTCAATACGAAAACGAAAGTTCCCGCGTCCCGCCGATGAATCGGATATGTGGGTCCCGCAAAGAAAACCCACAACATATCACAATATGAGATTTGAACATCACCGGATATGTGAAATGCGCCGAAATCGGTGCTGGCGTCAATGTGTTAACCTAAAGGTGGAGGTGTAGATTGAGTGATACTCTGTATAGGACTGAGTCGAGCGTCTTCTTAAGGAAGTAAGAGAAGAAGAGATGCTGCCATAGTCTGCTTTTTTCATGACTAGTTCGTCGTTTTTGCTCCATTTATTGGTAGGACTCATTGATAATGATCTTTTTTTGACTTTTTCTACTTTTCCACTTTTGTACTTTTTGAACGACTTTGTGTGGACGGTGGGGTAGCAGGGCTTTTTTATGCAGTTTTGGGGAGAATTAAACAACCTTTTCATAGTTCGGCTTTTGAAGAGGGTTGTTTCATGGACTTCGGCCTTCGGGAGGGGGGGGGGGTCGTATTTCCAAATTTTCCTCGACGCCTCGCTTGACCCCTGCTCCGCATACGATCACCTTGCTCCCAGAAAAAAATCATTCGAAGGCAATCACGCTTTTTTAGGCAATCCAGCGATCGAATTCGAACACATAAGTCAGGCTTTATTGCCGACAGCATTCGAAACGAATTTGTTTTTTTTTCTATGCTCGTGAAATGTTGCCTGCAACAGGTTCCATTGGGGTGCAGCCTAGAAAAAAAAGTGAACTGATTCCAGTGACAGAACACTGGGATTGCAAAGAAAGCTGAAGTTGAGCTGTTTATTAGGTTGTACCAATTAGGCCTCGACGTAACGAATTCAGCTGTATAAATTACACATCAAAATCGAGTTTTTATGATAAGCCATGCCTCACACTTGTATTCGGAATTGCAGATACATTGGTATGTGAATTTAAGCAGTAAAAGAATTCACGGCGGCTATTCAACGTTCAGCTCGGTGCCTCCATTTCCTAGATAAGATTAAGCAATAGGCTTAGTTTGGCCTAGCTGTGCACTTGCATGGAGCATTTTGCTATGCCGATGTGACAGCTCCAGTCGCTTCAGTCCGACCTTCATCTTCGTGACAGCAAATAGGCCAGGTTTCCAGACAACGACACCTTGAAAATGGAAAACATCGAAGCTCGGCAGCGTCCATAAAAATGGAGAACTGTTTATTTTGCATTGCCCTGTTAGTTTTCAAGCTGAGGCAAAAGTGCATACCTTAGAGTTTCAAACGAAATAGCCACTTTAGATGAGAGGAAAAGAAAGTATATTTGACAGCAGACTTGAACTGCGACTTACTGCGTGATTTCGGGCCAGAGGCCGAGAAGGAGAGCGACGACGAGTAAGATAACTATTTGTTATCTTAACGATACATTATTTGTCAATGCCAGATAGTAGGAAAACGTGTGGCAAGATGACTCAACTTTGCGACGGGCCACGCATTCGGCTTCTCTGAAGGGCGGTGTCAGTGGTTTATCCTGATATGGTTTCACAATGTTGTGTGGCAGCAGAAGTACAATCCAATACATTGTCATTCTTCTACTCGGATAGCTACGAGCCGGCCGATATGGGCATTTGTGGCTCCGGTTCTAACAATGTCTTCAAATTGACATATTTCAGAACTAGAGGAGGAGTCATGAAGATCTCGCTGAAATGTGCTAAAAATAACGTGCGTGCGAAGAGCCTCACCTTTAGAGCCGGCAATGAGTATTTGACGACGAAAAATAGTCTGCCCCTTATCGCTGCAGAAATTTTGGACGCTTGGCGCTAAGATTCTGCTACATACGGAATGGTGGATCCTAATACTTTCAGAATAATACATTTGTAAGCGTATTTGAAGAATACCAAACGAACACCTTGGGCGACCGCCGGCCCGATGGTCAGACTTCTTCACGAAAGCTCTGAACGAAAGGAATGAAGGACTTCGTGTCCCTCGAGCGAGGAGGGTCCACTGGACAACTCTTGCACGCGACAGGGACGAATGGAGACGTTGCTGGCGCCCGCTCGAGCAATTCGATGATCAACGGGACGACAGGTGATACAGGTGATTTAAGGAATAACGTGATTTTCGGAACATGTAATGAAATAACCCGAGCTCCCATTTTCGCAAAGAATATGCCACTGATTGACTGAGCATTGAGGGTAAAACCTTGGACAATCAGATTGGGTGTCCAACTAATTTCCGACCAAAACGTGTGCCAGCGGCATCACTTGCCACCCTTCAAAAGAAGTGGTCACTATAAATCCTATGGGGACGATAAGGAAAGTTACGTAGTGGGTTGGATAGGATCTACTCAATGGGATGATATGTCATGCTTCAGCGGCAGTGGCGCCTCATCAATGGCACGATAAGAGCCGAAACCACTTTCGGAATGCAGCACCTCTACATATAGGATGTAGAGTGCAATGGCAGCGTGCTTGATGTAATACCGCTGTCGTTATCGTTCGATTTTCATTCTGTAGTGTACCTTTTTATCATATCGTTTCATATCTCCCATGAGGTTACGCTCGTACAGCTCAGCTCTTATTCCGAGTCTTAAGGTCAATAACACGTGTGCAGCTTCCTCTTAAAGGCGCAACACAGCCCTTCGGTCTGTAGTATAGACCCCTAGAGGACAATCACAAATGTGGCGTTCCCGTGCACGGAAACCAACCGACAAGAGCGCTTGGGCCTTGCAAAGTAAGCTGCTGAAGCTGCAGTTTTTTTCTCTTATCAGGCTGTTGTCTGGCATCTGTAGCGCTCTCTCGCCTCATACTCTCCTCTCCGCGCTTAGTCTCTCATTCCCTTAGCACAGCCGATTAGGAAGGTGAGTGAGCCCTTAACCTAAGCGTTTTCGACGGATTCTTTTCCTTTTTTCTTTACTGCCGGCCCACTTCGCACCAATACATTCGCATTCGTGTGCAAGAGCCACACCAATGTGATCCTGGGGCATGCCTTTAAGCCAGAGTGATCTTCTTCTTCAAAGGCAGCGATTACGATAGATTCTGGAGGGGTTTAGAGGGACGTGGGGTCTCAATAGTACGCCAATGGCGAAAAAAGCAAAGAAATCCGTCAAAAATAAGCAAAATAGTACCCCTTTGATTGCCCTTTCATTTTCGACCATGGATGAGCGACGGACAAAGAAAGACGTTGTTCGGACGTGTTAACCCCGATAGCCGCCATCATGCCAACAAGCATAGTGTTTTGATTGATAAGGCATATGGGCAAGTTGGAAGATACAGCCGCTAGAAGGGAAATGATCATCCAAAATGAAAAGCCAACAGCAAACAGCTCGCCCAAGTCATCAACTGAACTAGTGGGCGTAACGCTTTCGGGGCGGAGTGCTTCGAAGTCCTGCTCAGCAACCAGCGCACCTTTCGTCGTGAAAGCGCCACACCTCGCTTCCTTGGCAGCCAAGTAACTGCTTCGTGTGGCGCATATGCTTTTCCGATGCGGCCCTTTCTTATCGTAATCGCTTCCTTTAACAGCCGCTAATCTGATAATTTTTTAAAATCAAAAAACGAAAACTATGATAAACGCAAGAAATGAGGACGAAGAAAAAGCGCCGACATAAAAGAGCAGCGAGATGAGGACTACATTTTATACAATCAAACTGAGCCAGCTCTCGCCTTCCGTGTGAAAACAGAAATTATATGAAAAGCTGATCTCAATATGGATCTTCTCAGCCCTTTTTGCAAAATGCACACTCAAATGTTATACGCTTATTTAAAGGAGGAATTCACGATTAGAATGAAGGTCGAAGAAAGGGAAACTGACCTAGTTGAGGGACCCACGGACCTCCTGAGGGTGCGAACTGACGCGCAATTCGCATGGAAAAATTTGACCTCGGCGACCTATCATGCCTCAAAGCTGGCGGGTCCGGCGATCTCCGCCCACCGATCATCTGATCACTCGCCGTAGTTCAATACGTGGCGAGTGATTAGATAGCTGAGAGAGCGTAGTGTTGAAGAGGGCACAGCGATGAGAGTCGCATCAACGGGCAAGGAAGGGGTCCCATTTCTCGGGTTCTGGGCCGTTTCTCATGGTTCTTCCTTCTTTCGTGTACCACTCACCATCCCTAGGTTAATTTGAAATGGGTTGCTTTTTCATCGTGAATTCGTCCTTTAAGGAGGTGATGCGCGTGCGTATGCCCATAGAAACCAGCAAATGTTTAGTATGGTTTTCTCCTCGCTTAACTATATGTGCAACGTCCATAATGATTAATGATTAATAATCATATCGTGCAAAAACATTGCGAAATTCGAGCCGGCCGTCTCACTTCCATAGACACTTTTTCTCGTGGCTCTGTTTTGATCGATTTATGAAAATTAATTATCGAAACTTGATCCGGATAGATTGCAACCGAAACTAGTTCCTCCTTCTTGGAACTGTTTAACGTAGAATTTCACAAGCAACTCATTTCTTACATCACGAACCTGTCCGTGGACAGCGCAATCGCCTGCTGGTTGGCAGGTCGTTTAGGGCACTATAATCGGATCATATAAAAAACAAACTCGCTAAGCCAGTGATCAAGCGTTCTGGTTGGGTCAGTTGTTTTTGATCGTTCCATATATAAGCGTTACATTTGGAGCCGATGGTGCCAGTTCGTTTCTGTGAATGTCCGATTAGTGTCTACATCTTTCTCAAAATGCCACGCTTATTTAGCCCTCCTCTTCTTAATAGGCGCGCGCGTTGTTTGGATTAGTTGCGCGCTTCGTCATGGCCTCACTGGGGTAGTCGCACAGCGAACAAAGTCGTTGATGCCGCTCTTTTTGAAGGCTTGAAAAGCTGCTTAGGGCATGCGCAAGCTTGAGCTCGTCCAATCGCAACCGCACCCACCCGCGCAAACCGCACACCTAGCTGTCCGTTGCCACGTGGCGCTGCTTGAAAAGCGGGAGCGTATTTGTGAGCGGTCACCATTGCGATCCAATGTCATTGGCACTGGAGCAACTAGAGTTCGGTTCGTGAAACTCGTCCAACGCGCCCCTTCTCTATCCCAAAGTGGAATACGGCTAGAAGAGATGAGGTCTCTGTGCGGGGCCTATTCGGTGGTTTCGTTGCTTTTCTAAACTACCTCTCACCTCTAGCTTCTTCAAAACTAAACGCTTTCCCACACTTATTTTATCCCGAATCTTGCTTTGAATGGGCGGGTTATCAGCGGAGCTGTTCTCTTTTTGCTCTACCTTCTCCACTTCGGTTGGAGCATGTCATCTTTGTCATCTTTTTTGTGAACTCATCTTCACAGTGAACAGTGGGCATAGGAAGGCTGGTTGAACTAGTTTCGAGCAATGTCAGACTTGAGAGGAATTTAGTGAGCTAGTGATTACCAGCGCTACACGGTGGTCCAAGCCCAGAAGTGGACTCAGCTTAAGGCTTACTTAAGATTGGCTCACACTTGGATTTGAGACTCAAGCTCATAAGTGAATAAGTATCAGGCGTGATTGGACCTTATTAGAATACTTGGAGCGCAGATACTATAATAGCAACTATGACATGTACGTGGTGTGGTTGCAAACAGTTCTGCTTACCCTGGGCGAATGTGGGGATTTGTCGTGGTGCTAATTCAGTACAGCAGCCCCTTCCATAAGCCTAGCATCGCTATGACTCTGGCTCTGGCTCCAGCTCTGGCTGGGTCAAACATCGTTCGAATGTTCATGCTTTTGCGAATGAAAGTAATGCTGGCGCATCTCAAAAAAGTGTTTGTATCTGCGCCGAACGCTTGACCTTTTGCTTTGGCAGTAGCATGACTGAGGTAGATCAGTGGCTAGAGACACTGCACACTATGTCCAAAAACCTGAGTAGTTTTCTAATAGTCGATTCTTCCGCATTTCTTCAAATGTTCGCTCTGGATATTTGCGAAAGCCTGGAGAAATTGTTGTCATTATAGAGAATATGCTCCCTAAGGTATGGAAACAAGGTGGGGCCCAAGTGGTTTGATGTAATGAATATTGGATGTTTGGTGCACTGCACAAATCCATATAACACCGAGCAACTTCCTATTAGGTTCTACTCTGTGCTTCCACCATTAGTGGCATAGGCGTGGCGGAGGCGTCTAACCGCGATTGGGCCACTAGCTGCCACTAAAGTCGGCGGGCACTACCAGGACTGATCTTAGCGAAGTTATTACGAGAATTCTGTCTTTTAGACTTGGTGATTTCATACTTTACTCCGAGAATAGAAAGCCTAAAACACCGATATCGAATCGGCTCGCCACGCAAGTCATTGTTTGGAAGAAACACCTTGTTTGAATGTCCCTAGATTTCTGCACCGAAACAGAATGCGTGGCGTTTCCCACCGATGCTTCTGGGGCCAAGTGTCTGGTCTTTCGTTTTTTACTTGCATAAACATTATGATAAAAATGTGACTCCGGCAGGTTTTATGCAAGGGAACTTTCTGCTTTTTCCCCCATTGCATGTAGGACATAGAGCTAGTTTCTAATGGAAACAAAATTTCTTCCCAAAAGTTTGATCGAAGCTATATTGAAGATTACAGCAGCGAGTATGCTATAAAAAGCCGGGCCCCATTCAATTCCACCACTCTCAGCTCCCATCTCGTTGAATGCCTGCCATGTCTCTCTAGTCGTAGTTTTCTTTTTTAGTCATTCTTTCATGTACCCCTTTGGATTCGATCCATTTCATCTGCTGCCCTATCCAGTCTTTGGAGTGCAAGCATTGGACGAATAGCCTTTTCCCGATCTCTGAATTAATCCCTGTCCAAATCGTCATCTTCCAGTGGCGTGAACCGATACTCACGCCATTTTCTACAAAATGGATTAGAATGTATTCAAATTGCTTACTGGAAGACGCAGATCCTCACAACCTCACCTTTAGTAACAATTCTACTGGGATCGATTCAAAGAAAGATTGTATTTTTGTTGGAATATTCTATTGGTGGTACTTTTCAGGGGGGTGTGGGATGATGAGACCGTTTCAGCTTCCCAGGTTACCGTCTGTGAGGGTCTAATATCTGTACGGTGGGCCGGGCCCCCCCCGCCCTCCTTTTGCCTTTTGAGAGATGCTGTGCCTTCAATTCCTCTCAGTAATTTCAAGCCAATTAAAGGCAAGCCCCGGGGTAAAGCCTTGTGTGGGAGCGCTCATAGTGAAGAAGAGGGTGCGCAATGGGCTGAAGCTGAAGAAGAAAGCGAAAGAATTCGTCGTGAATACTGAAACTGAAGGCTAATTTTCTGGAAGGTCGGGTGTGGTGGGACAAAAAATTCAGAGCGAGCGGAGAATTCAGAGAGCGCAAGAGATCACATCGTACGAGACGGCCTAGCGCAGTTGGAGGCCACTTTCAAACCTACGGGCCATGGACGCTAGGTGAGCGCCTCTTGTCGCCTCTTTCAAGCGGTGTCAACGCTTCATCGGACGTTCGCAAATAGCTCTTCGTTCAACCTACCAAAAGGATTACTTCACTGGTCTTATCCTATTCCGGGCTTGCCTTTGAATGCTGTTATAGCGAAGAGACCGACTTGCGCCGCATTATTCAACTTGCGGCACTTCCTCTATCCTCTTTCCCCTCTCTTCTTTTCCAATCTAGATATCCAGGCTGTTGCGTTTTCGGACAGCTTTCAGACAACCTATCCAGCCAAACAGGTGGTCATCCACACCATGCTGCCAGTTTGAGAACCACCTTCATAACCTTGGTTCTATGCCCAACTCCGTCAGGCCGAACCCTCCCCTGCATTCCAATAGCCCCTCTTTTTCAGAATTTTCAGAACTCCAATGCAGAACTAACCAGCCTTCCTCTCGGCTTCTAGTTTCGAAATTTTCCAAAAAAAAAACCGAACGTTCCACTTTTCGATTATGGTTCTGACCCCCAACATGTCTCGTCGATTGTTCTATTGGCCAAGTGCCAAAAGCCATTTTAATAATCGTAATTTCAGTAGTCACCCATGACTGCGACTACACACTTGATGACAACGACGGTGGTTACCGTGGTTGCCGTTATCACTGCCATCTCGACGTTCACCGCTCTTGCCATTGTTGGCTACATTGTGAACGACATCAACAAATTCTACGACCACACTATCGAACAACTCGGTGAATTTAAGGTAAAATCCAGTTCGAAACCCCCTTATCCAACAAGGCTAAAAATCATTCAATTTTAGGACCTGGCAAACACTGCATGGCATGAAATGAGACCACATCCGCACGACGCTTTCCGTCAGAGAAGAGCGATCATCGAAGGCCGCGTACGTCGTCAGTTCCCAGATTTCTGCAACTGCGGTCCGCAAGCTGCTAAATGTCCCGTGGGACCTCCTGGACCTCCAGGACCACCGGGAGAACCAGGAGAACCAGGCCTTCCTGGAGGAGTGGGTACAGCCGGTCACCATGGAATCTCGTTATCCGGTACAGCCGGAGCAGCTGGTTGTATCAAATGCCCTGTTGGACCTCCAGGTCCACCCGGTCTAGACGGCCCTCCGGGTCCACCGGGACCAAATGGAGAACCAGGAACCGCTTCCGTGGGTGGTGCCCATGGTACACCAGGACCCGCTGGACCAGCAGGCGATCAAGGACCGCCAGGATTACCAGGACCCCCAGGGCCTCCGGGAGCTCCTGGAAAACCAGGCCAATCTGGAAAAGGTCTACCAGGGCCTCAAGGAGTTGCTGGTCCACCTGGTCCACCAGGTGCTCCTGGACCTAATGGGTCTAATGGAATGGCTGGAACACCTGGTCCAATGGGACCACCGGGGGCACCAGGAAATCCTGGAGCACGTGGAACAGAAGGACCTCCAGGAATGGAGGGATCCAATGGTCTACCTGGACACGATGCCGAGTATTGTCCATGTCCACCGAGGTCAACGAAATTCGAGCGACGTAGTGCCGATGCTCTGCAAAGTTTCAGTGCTGGCAATACAGAAATTAACTCCTACAATGTTAGACTGAGAGACGACGTGCACTGGGGAGCTACTCATTCCAATAGAAAACGTCATCGCAAGCACAGACACTGATTCAAAAGCAGGAAGAGCTTCTGTGGCTTTGCTGAACAATAGAAACAATCGTGTTTGATCGAGTTCATTGTTTGGAAAAAATGCTCTTTTTCTGCTCTCTACTGTTTTTCGGATAAACGGTTTGGGTGGTCAAGCTTGGTTTGTCAGCATTACTGTAAAAACCTTGTTTTTGAGCAAATGGTGTCCATCTTTGTACTCCGTTCGCGACCAGATGTGCCGCAATTGTGAACACATTACACATTGCGATGACCTTCAAAACAACTTATGTCACGTGCGCTTCTTCATGATTGATGTCATTCAGTTTTGTGATCGTTAAGGACAAAACGAATCAGACAACGTATGAAGAGCACAACTGAAGACTACAAACTAACTTCAGTCCGGTACCATTTGTATCGTAACCCCAAAAGAGGAGTGGGTGCGATATTTTTGTTGCGTTTTG